TTCCCTTTAAAAACACTTTCTTCTTCCATGTTCCTTTAACCCTAACCCGTGTGACTTTACAGGTGGAATTTTGGAATGTACAATTATTGGGTGTCATCTCAAAATATTCAACCATTTTAGTAGTGAATCTCTGCAGCTCCTCTGGAGCCACCTTGGATGGCTAATACTTTTGTTCCCCTACATGTCAGTTAAAATTGGTGGTTTATCTATTGCTTAAAGACACCCTGAACAGTTCTTTCTAAGATGTTTACAGTAAATATAATGATATTGTGCTTTTTGCTGTCTCTGATTTTAACAAGGCTGAATTCCTTTCTGACTTGTTTGGTCTTTATGATGCTTTTGGTTTATTTATGTTCTCAGAAAAACCTCTTGGGCTTCAGAGATTGACTGTATCAATATTGAGGTTAATTACAGACAGAAGGACTCTATTTACAAATGTTTTTTTTTATTTTTATTAAATGGTCATAATCAATTCTTTTAAGAGGTTAATAGAGTAAAAGAGTGGAGAACACAAAATCTAACACATTAATACTTAGGTCTCATTTTGCTTCTATAGAATGTATGTGCTAATTTGTATTGATCCATTTCATTAAATATAAATAAATAAATAAATAAATAAATAAATAAATAAATAAATAAATAAATAAATAAATAAATAAATAAATAAATAAATAAATAAATAAACAAATCGATAAATAAATCAATCAAATAAATAAATTAATATTACTGTGTGGTTTTAAAAGGACAAAAAGTGAAAAAGTTGAGGAGGTACAATTACAATTGCAAGTCACTAATTATAATTAATTATAACTAATTACATTCAATCAATAACCTTAAAAAGAACATTAAGTTAAATGAGAACTGATGCACATTTCCTTTAGTATTATTTTAAAACCTGTTTTAACTGACCAAATTCTTTTCTGAAAAATATAATGAACCTCACTGAAAGCACAAATATAGCAGTGCTGTGGCCACCATAACTGGATAAATGGCTGTGCGTGGCGTCTTGTCCTGCAAACAGCTGCAGTTTCCGGCATCATACAATCCCACCAGTGGACATTTCACCCTAAAGGCTTAAGACACCTGGGATTAATGAGCAAGTGTGTGGTGCTGACACCTCCCGGGACAAGCATGTGGAGAACAAGAATGCCTCAAAAGGAAAAGAAAATCTGATTTATTTTCACATCACTAGTTATGGCTTAACAAAATAAAAAAAGCAAACTAATATCTGTTATGAAAGTATATATGAAAATAAAAACTCAAAAGGAGTATAGTACTCAAAAGTAATTTAATATAGAGTGCACGATGGGGGGAAGTAATTTGTTCTCAAATATGAAAGCATGAGCCTTTTTTTGGTTTTCAACAAGCATAGTGTGGATCAAAAACCCTCTTAGATGGCACGCAGGGAGCTAGAAGAGGATAAAAAGTTTATGGATAAAAGCCTAAAGGAACTATTAACCTTTGATTAAACATCATGAAAGAGTTTTTTCCCCCAGGCGTGGTAAGAAAAAGCTTTTAGAATTTAAATTTGCTTTGCAGCTAAGCATTTAAAGAAATTAGCAAAACAACATACATTTCTATTCTATCTTTTCTACTATATGTATTACATGTGGAAGGTGTGCGCTGCTGTTTTCATCATCCTGTAACAGAACCAAATTCTGGTCAAACACCTCTGTGATTTGGGAACCCATTCTATTTGATTTTATGGATCAATGAATTTCTGGCAAATTAAACGGAATAGCTGTCTATGTAATGAAACGGTTTTAAACACAGGTGTCCCCCAGGGCCATGTCATTTCCTCTTTTTTATTGTCTATTTATACCGATGAGATTACGAGGAACAATAATGGCCTCGTTTTGATTAAGCGTTCTGACAACCCAACCCAGGGGGCCTGTCTAATTCTCAGTAAGTCACAACAAAAAAAGACGACATTACTGAACTGACAGATCCATTTGACTAATTCTACCTCAAAAGACAGAACAAAAAAAAGAGGAAGGAGAGAAGCCAGCCTCATCAATGCCTTACACTTCTTTAAGCAAACTTCTAATATCAGGCAAGTGAAGATGATCAGACACTTTTTCTCGCAGTACAGGAACATTATTTGCAGCGACGCACAGAAAAAGCTCCAGGGATGTGGAGTCAATAAAGATGCTCATTAATGTCCTGGGCTTAAAGATACTGTCCTGTTTTGATCAACTGTTTGCGAGGGGTTTGCAAAAATGGTCAATCAGGAGCCTACAATCATTCGGTTTCCAATAAACCCCCTGATCATCATCAACTGGATTGGGCACTAAGTCACTTGCCTTTAAGGGGAGGATGGCTGTGCATTAGCTGAGTGTAATATACAGAGCAAAAGCTGTTTACGGTAGCTTGATTTCCAACAGTTTTAGCTTGAGCCCTCATATGATGAAGAAAAAAAGATGTTATGCAGTTGTTTCCTAAACCTTGCATTTTGTCACATTACCACCACAAAACATTAAATGGAGGTTAAATTTAGACTAGATACAGAGCATTGATATGTTTCATTTTCAAGTCATGCCAGAGATTCTTAATTGTATTTCTGTCTGAATTTTGACTAGGACATTCTAGAGAGTTTGAGAGGTTGAACCTTAATCTCTTTTGTGACTTTTAAAAGGTTTCCTTCCAGGAATTAACTGTATTTACCTTCAGCAACTTTCTTATTTGCTTTGACTAACCAAGATTCACTGATGAAATGTATCCCTGCAGCATGATACTGCAAACAAAAAGCTCCGCTGTGAGTATGTTGCACAGCAAATAGTTGCCCTATTAACCCCTTCCATGTAAACTCTGCTGCTCCTCCACAGTTACCATAGCACTCTTGAATTTCCTTGAAGTTCTCTTCTTCTGGTTTCTCAGTTTTGGTTTGCAGAACCACTGTAATTATATTAAGATTAAACTAATAGGTGGAGTCTATTAAGAGCTCTTTTTTATAAATCTATTTCTGAAGACAATGGGCTGCATTTGGGGGTAATTATAAAAAAAAAAAAAAAAAATATATATATATATATATATATATATATATATATATATATATATATATATATATATATATATATATATATATATATATATTTATATATATATATATTTGTCAAAATAATTTAAAACCATGAAAAAAATACCTTCATTTGCACAACTATGCCACATTTCTATTGGTTTATCAAATAAAATCCACATATAATAGAAATGATTTTTCAGTTATAACGTGCCTTATGCAAGACACTAAGATTGACCACCAGCCATGCATCTATTTACATCTATCCATCTATTTTGTTTATACATGCTCTCTGTAGGTCAATCTGTTCATATTACCACTTTGGACAATTTTGTTTTGGCAATATTAATGGCTGAATCATTAACAATTATATGCTTTTTTTTTATCACCTCCCCCATTCACATTCAGGACAGAATAAAGCATCAAGAAACACAAACTGCCAATCAATACTACACACAGCTAAAGAGCATGAAGTTAAAAGTGGTATGTGGGGTACATGTTTTATTCCCATGGTCGAGCCCAATCAATGTTATCTCTCTTAAAGTCAGAGTCCAGGGGGCTACAACTTCAGGCTTTGATGTCTTAGACAATTCCAGAAATCAAATGATAGTTGGAAGACTGACTTATGGACAGGTTTGGGGGTTTTATACGATGAGATTCTTTATCAAATCTGAACTCCAAAGATCCCCTGCTGGCACTTTCCACCATCAACCTCGACATCCCTCTCATTTTTCTTCCTGTGGGATTTGACATATTGGCCAAATCGCAGGCAATGTCCTGAAGTGAAAATTTGATAGAACTACCCTAGACTGCAGGACTGAAGTAATTTTCCTTCAAATGTCCCTTTAAGATTGAATTTATTATCAGTCATTTACATCTAATATAGCCTGAGCTCTAACATCCAGTCGTAAAACCCCATAAATTTAAGCTCTGCAGTTTCACTTGTACTTTCAGGACCACAGACCGGAGTCCAGACTGCATAAATCTAAAATGTTGACTGGCTGCAGTGACAAGCTCATCAGATCCAGTGAATACAGTTGTGTGGTTAAAAAAAAGAGCCATCAATGGTGAAGACATCTAAAAACCAACCACATATTTCAGCCTCCAACACACAGGGCTTTATGACTTCAGAAATGCTTTAACAGGGCAGAAAGTCTGTGAATAAAATAATCTGCATCATACAAAAGAATATAGAATAGATAAGAAAAGTAATTACAGATTGAAATTTCTAAAGCAATTGATCTTGTTAATAAAATAGTGTGAACCCAATGTGGCGGTGGGCGGTTTCAACATTTGAGCATTTTTCTTTCTGCAGTGTTTAAAATTTATCAAAACAGTGAACATACAGAGCAACAACATTTATCAACTAAGCATGAGCTTTGTGTCAATAATAAAACTGTTTAATTTGCTAAAAGGTCAGATGCTGTTTCATCAGCATCACATTAGGGGTTGAGGTTGGACACGGGAATTCTAATTGTAGCTGTTACACCTCTCTGGGAGACATTACTTGATTATTTCATAAATAATTAATGTGTTTTGATTGCTGCCAAAATGCCTGCACCCTCCCACAGCTCTGTGTCTCGTCGAATTTACTAGCAGGGATGGATATTAATTTAAAGTTCAAGTGACAAACAGTTAGTGGAATGAATGATTCTACTTTCAAAAAATAAGGGAGGGGGCGCAAAGAAATAAACATAAGGACTGCATGAATTTAAAACATTCAAGGGACACGAAGATAACAACAAAAAACAGTAACATAAGGAAGAGATTGGAAAGATAAATTTTAGATACGTGGAATGTCTGTATGTTTTAGTATGCCTTGTTTACGCGCAGTTAAGCCCGTGCGTAAAAATTGGATTTTCTAATAGCCTTAAACCTTAAAGTTTTGAATTGGGTAATAATAAATCAGCATCATAAAGCATAATTAAGTGGATTTCTACCACTTAAGATTTGAAGCTGAGTGTTTTGTCAAGCTGAAACTTACACTGCTATTCTGTCCGGACCAGTGCACCATCGCCTGGTTGTGCGCTGAGTCTCCCGACAGAGCAAAAGTGGAGGTTTCCAGGTGAGGCTCGCTCTGCCTCTGGTTTGAGCCCCTGCTTTCTTCGCCTGTGCGCCGATACTCGCTTCTGAAGTTTGAAGCACCTTGGACAGCTCCTGTGGACCTCTGCGCTTCCCCATTGACACTCTTGTCCACATTTTCTTTGTAAGGCGCACCGACACTCCTTTTCTTTTTCTCCTTTACTGAAAATGTGCGTTTTGGTGTTTCAGTCACTGCTGTTGAAACGTATTCACACTTTTTGTCAGGTATTTTAAGATTTCTGAAATAGTTCACCGCTGCGTCAGACCTGTTTAAAACTTCACCGTGGTCACTGACTTTGAGCGGGACTTTGTTCCACGCAGATGTTACACATGTCATCGGCGATGTTACCTCCAAGGGATAAAACTTGTTAGCCAATTTAGGAGAAGATATCTCCGCCCGAGCTCCCAACTTCAAGTGAAAGGAATAAAACTGAATGCAAGCCAAAAAATAACAACTCCAAAATGACCATAGAGTCATTGTGATTTCCAAATCGGATAGCCTTCTTGTGCAGAGAATATATATAGTTCGCAGAAATGTTCAGTGATTCACCAAATAATCGTTGCAAGTAAAAAAGGAAATCAATTCTGTAGAAGCTCTCGTGTCCAAGAATTTGTCAAAGTGAGGGACCGATTGGGGAGGCGTTGCGCATCAGCATGTGCGCCAGCGGAGAGTCTCTGCAAGAACGGGTTGTATAGAGCTCATGAGCACGGCGGACCAAAAAAAGGAAAAGAAGAGGAGAGGAGAGCAGATTTAAAGCATTGAAATATTTTTAAAATCCTTCCACAACCCAGTGTTTTATTCTTCTATATCCCTTGCTGCTGGTAAAAAAAAAAAAAAAAAAAAAAAAAAAAAACAAGACCAAAATAAGACAAAATTGTGAAAGTTATCCACACAAACACTTGACGGAGTTAAAGCCGTTCACACAGAGAGAGAGAGAGAGAGAAAAAAAAACTAATAATTTTTGCTTTGCATAACAGCTTCAGTCTGAGGCAACGTTGTGCCTTTGATACCATTGGGGAGAAAAACATCATTTGCTGGCATCAATCAGCAGTGGATTCACCTGTCAGCTGTGCACGCCCAAGCATATGTGGGAGAGTTCATTTGCAAGAGATTCTCTTGGACTGCTGATAAAGATCCAAATACACTGTTATTTTGCAAAGCTCTGATGCTGCTGATTCTTCTGAAGACAAAATTGTCTGTTCTGCTGTCCCTATAGGAGGATATTATTTTAGACCACTAAAAGGAAAAACACTTGCTTTCATAGGACTGTTACACATAGGATGTAATATTAAAAAGTTGAGATATATCAGTAATGCAGAATGTATGTAGGAAATCTTCAATTTCTTAGCAATTTCCCGCATGGAATAGCCTTCATTTGTAAGAACAAAAATAGACTGTCGAGTTTCAGATGAAAGTTCTCTTTTTCTGGCCATTTTGATCGTTTAATTGACCCCACAAATGTGATGCTTCAGAAACTCAATCTGCTCAAAGGAAGGTCAGTTTTGTAGCTTCTGTAACGAGCTAAACTGTTTTCAGATGTGTGAACATGATTGCACGAGGGTTTTCTAATCATCAATTAGCCTTCTGAGCCAATGAGCAAACACATTGTACCATTAGAACACTGGAGTGATAGTTGCTGGAAATGGGCCTCTATACACCTATGTAGATATTGCACCAAAAACCAGACATTTGCAGCTAGAATAGTCATTCACCATATTAGCAATGTATAGAGTGTATTTCTTTAAAGTTAAGACTAGTTTAAAGTTCTCTTCATTGAAAAGTACATTGCTTTTCCTTCAAAAATAAGGACATTTCAATGTGACGCCAAACTTTTTAATGCTAGTGTGTATATATATAAATATAAATAAATATAAATATATATATATATATATATATATATATATATATATATATATATATATATATATATATATATATATATATATATATATATATATATATATATATACTTATATACATATATTTACTTTAAGGGTACAAATATACTGTACCATTGATTGCAAGTTTAACACGTTGTGGTATTATGTGGTGTTATATCCTATAGTGTCGTTTTTCAGGGAACACAGCCATGAGAAAGACTGCTGACATGACAGCTGACCAGTAGACAGGCATTGATGCTTTAAACCAGGAGGGTCAACAACAAAAGGTCATTACTAAAAAGGCTGGCTGTTCCAAGTGAAAAAAAAAACGGCTCCGCGAAGAACTTTGGAGATAGAGTGAATGTGCTGAATTTACTGTAAAGGGCATAAACCATCAAATCCATAAAAGTCCACAGATGTACTATCTTGAATATTTTATTTAAGAAAAAGTTAAAGATTTTTACATTTTTGCACATCTATTTGAAAAATACAGACTTTGTTTAAAGATTCCGCTTTGGTTTGTCTGGGTTTCATATTTTCACTAATGAAAGACAAAATATACAAATTTAAAATTAAAGCAATACCTGCTTTGTTTTGAGTGTTTTTAACAGTTTTTATGGATGAAATATGGTTTTTGTAATTTCATTTTTTTTTTGTGTCAAAATAATCTCATTGGAGCTCGTCCAGTCCACCTATTTCAGATCTCTAACAACAGGTGATAAACATTTCCAGATTATGTGAAAACATCTACATTTTCATGATAAGCATTTTAAGTTTGACTTAATAATTGTGACTCTTTGGGGGACCAAAGGTCCAAAGCTTTTCTTAATCTCTGCACAGTCAGATTTTCTTTTGTTCAATGATTTTTACTGTCCACATTTGAAAAATTAAGCATCCTTCCAAATCAATAAGCTATTTGAAAGGTATTAGTTTCAATTAGTAGAGCCAAATGAATCCTGCAAGGCATTTTCTATGATTCCTGCTGACAAAACCTTCTACCTCTCTCACTCTCTTATTCTCTCTCTCTAAGCTGTTGCAAAATCGGTAAGTCAGCGTCCAAAAAAAAAAAAAGCCTTCTTGTAATTTATTACAATGCCTGTTAACGAGCAGCTGAAATGTATGCAAAATAAGTTTGCATCAGCTACCAGACAGTTCCCCAAAGAAAAACAATAAAATAATTATTTCAGCCTTCCTCAAGGACAACAGGAACATCACAGAAACAGGGCAAAGATCCATGTTACAACAGAGGGAAAAGAAAAACATAGAGGACCTGAAGATTCTCATTAACTTTCACAAAATGTGTATACGTAGTAATTAGAGATAACTATAGTATAGTGGGAAAAATGTAAAGGCATTGATCTTATCTTCATTTAAATATTATTCTGTTTGAGTTTGATTTGGATTAGTGGATCATTTCTCAGCATAATAATCATCTGCGGAGCAAGTTTAGTGTGGCGAGAAGATAAGGAAACTCACATCCTGTGAAACAAAACAAAAAAGAAAACCCACAAGCAGGACTGACAGCAACAGGAGTTTATTGCTGGAAAAGGTACCTTGTGATCTTGAATGGATTTAGAGACAGCACAGAGAGAACAGCAATCAGACTGCCAAGACAGGCAGGCAGGCAACATTGCCATTCTCCTTAGAGGCCTCACTTTTTGGTCACTGCATTTCGGCACGGCTGTACAAACAAATTGAGATTCATACAAGTGAGGGCTCTGGGCAGCAGGTGCTACTGTTGCTATCCGCTGCATTGCCAGGCCGCTAACTCTCATTCCCGCCAGAATGCCACTGCAATGAGGGGGTAATTGGACTGATCACACTCTGTTTACCCATTATGCTGTGAAAATGAAGTGGGTTGCTCCCAAACGCAGTGTGAGAGTCCAGGGATAAAGGAGGAGCCTCCTCCATCAGTGACACATCTTTTAATCTGTGCTAACCTTGGGCTGGCAGCAGTAAATAGCTTTATTGTTTACCACTTAGTCATTTCTGCATGTACTGTATGTGAGAACTGCAACAGGAATGACTGCAAATAAGTTTTACATTCTTTTTTTTTTTTAAGAAGTAACTGGGGAGGGAACTTTAATGTGTTTGGATGTAAGCATCTGTGCCCCATATATTATGTACTATTAAACTAATGCAAATAATATATCTTCAAGAGATAATATTTCTAAGACTGGATAAGGCAATGGTGAAGAATAGAAGAAAGGGGAAAAATGAAATATTAGTAAATCTGCTCACCTTAGTATTAATAGTTAGCCAGATTATCAGATACAATCATCAAATTACTTTGGGCACACGTCTTGGGTAATCGCTGCAGTAGTCTAGTGTCCCCCTTTGCTTTCTGGCTGGAAACAAAGGAGGACACTAGACTACAGCAGCGACAGGAGGCAAACTTTAAAGCTTTCAGAACAAAATCCCATTTGTGCATTCTCTGTCTGCATCCCTGGCTTGTTAGCTCCAACACTTCAGTGATCCCGGTGGAGCGGACGCACATGCAGCACCAAAAACCATAATGGCCATCAACCAGACAGCTCGCACTCATACACCGGAGATGAACAGCAAGGTGCATTTGCCGCTTGCCTATACCCGAGCCATTAAAAAGAGAGATTTTCTTTTATTGCAGATGGCAAGACACTTATTTTGTACTTCCTTTATCATCCAAATGAAAGGAACGCATTTTAAAATCACAGTGGGAGGAGTAGTTTAGGACAGTTTGCCACAGCAATAAACCGGCCCTGTCACTGAAAACATAATTTTCTCCTTTTATGACTTACTATCACATTGATGTCTTTGTTTGTGATGAACACGGGAACAAGACTACCAGCATATCAACGCAATTTACCTAACCCCCAAACTTATAGTTTAGTCACAGCTGCGGTGTTTCTGTGGACAAAGGGTTTTAAAACGCACAGGGACAATGGCTGTTTGTGCTGCTTCATCACAACATCTGTGAGAGTTTGGCCATTATGCTTGACTTGAACATGATTGTTTCTTGGATTTCAGTGAAAAAGGAAACAAAAAATTAAGCAAATATGCATAAGTAACAATTGTTTATACAGGCCATGCCTAAATAAAGAAGTGAGAGGAAAAAGAGAAGAGGGATAGACTGATGATATTCGCCTTGAGTTCAGAGTGGCTTTTTTGGGTGAACAGTGTCCACTTTTGATAAAAAATGTTTCCTCTTGTGCCACAAAGATCCCCCTATGTCAAAATTAATAACAGTTAGCTTTTCATTTATAACAAGCCATATAGAGGACAGAGAAAACATTTGAAAGTGATTGCACTTCTCAGATTATACCATTTTAACTATGCCCTGCTCTGACTTCTCAACAGTTTGTCAACAGCTCTAGTTATTTTCATTATATAAACCCCTTATTAACAGGCGTCCCATGAGGGCAAGAAATAGGAGTGTTCAAAGCAAAATAATGAAACTTTGTGGGAATCTTTTGTATGCTATAAACTCACTGAGCCACATGAAGATAACATCTATGCTTTCCAACCAAGTTAGCTTTCCACCAGCATACAACATCTATGCTGAGCTTGTAACTAACTTAGCTTATGTTGTTAATCCCACTCTCATTATAAGGGATCATTAATAACCTCTTTAATCCTGAGCACATCCTCAACACTGGCTTTGGAACTGTCGAAAATTAAACTTACAAGATTTTTATTGGAGTTCATAGGATAGATATTTATAAACTGGTTGAAAATCTCTGTGATAATTTAGAGAAATATTTATACAAAGTTAGATGAAGTTCAGACCATTTCGTCCAAACAGAACTCTGCTAAGCCAGCAATATAGATACGTAATATGTAAACTTTAGGATACTTAATAAAAAAAAATGGAATAAACATAAA